GGAATGTTGTACTCCTACCTTAGCATGGATTTACAACAGTAGCATTTTAGTTACCAAAATGCGTACCAACAGTTTCTTAAGTCACTATGAGTTCTTGTGTTTTCAGTTAAAATAGTTATTTTATTTAATAATTTCTACATTTTATTATGTGTTATGAGGTATTGAATTTATTAAAATTCAGATTGGTGGATTGATTGCTTTCAGTTGTAAGCATAAACTTCCACCCTGAATCTCATCCCACCCTCCAACTGGGGACTTCAGCGTTCACACTGGGGTCCTTGCTTTGATCCTGGGGTCTTGACTGTTGACCCTGGGGTCCTGGACTTTGCTCCTGAGGCATTTGGTTTTGCCACTGTGGCCTTGCATTTGACACTGGGCTCCTGACCCTTGACCCCGGGGTCCTGACCCTTGACCCTGGGGTCCTGACCCTTGACCCCGGGGTCTTGACCTTTCACCCTAGGGTCCTGGCCTTTGACCCTGGGGTCTTTGGTTTTGCCACTTGGCTCTTAATCCTTGCCCCTGGGGTCTTGACCCATGAACCTGGGGTCCTGACCTTTGACCCTGGGGTCTTGGCCTTTGACCCTGGGGTCCTGATTGACACTGGGGTCTTTGGTTTTCCCACTGGGCTCTTAATCTTTGCCCCTCGGGTCCTGACCCTTGACCCTGGGTTCCTGACCTTTGACCCTGGGGTCCTGGCCTTTGATCATGGGGTCTTTCGTTTTACCACTGAGCTCTTCATCTTTGCCCCTTCGGTCCTGACCAATGACCCTGGGGTCTTCACCCTCTACCCTGGGGTCTTGACCTTTGTCCCTAGGGTCCTGACCTTTGACCCTGGGGTCTTTAGTTTTGCCACTGGGCTCTTAATCTTTGGGCCTGGGGTCCTGACCCATGACCCTGGGGTCTTTGGCTTTTCCACTTCACTCGTAACAAAACTTCATCACGAATTTTCCTGCCGGGGAGCCAAAATTGGCCGTTCTGCAAAACTCTCTGCAAAATATGCCTTAAACATAAAATTCCACCCCGAATCTCATCCTGCCCTCTGTCTTTCAATTCGGGTACAACTTTTTTTCGGTGCCGCAGACCGTGCACCTACTACCAGCATCAGAAACGTTCTTGCCGGGGAGCCAAAATAGGCCGTTTGGCAAAACTCTGCAAAATCTTCCCTAACCATAAAATTCTACCCTGAATCTCATCCTGCCATCCATTTTCCAACTCGGTTGCCACATTTTTTCGGCCACCCGGCCTGCGTACCTACTACCGATGCCACCAATTTTCCTCCCGGGCAGCCAAAATCGGCCATTCCGCAAAACTCTTTTCAAAACCTTCCTGAAGCATAAAATTCCACTCTGAATCTTACGAAACCCTCCATTTTACAATTTGTGTGCAACTTATTTTCGGCCCCAGGCCAACGCACCCAATGCCAGCATCACGAATTTTCCTCCTAGGGGGCCAAAATCGGCCTTTCCGCAAAACTCTCTGCAAAACATACTCTAGGCATAAAATTCCACCCCGAAACTCACACCACCCTCCGTTTTTTAATTCGGGTACAACTTTTTTTTGGCCCCCAATCCCGTAAGCCTACTGCAAGCATTACGAATTTTCTTCCTGGGGAGCCCAAATCAGCCGTTACGCAAAAGCCTCTGCAAAACCGTCTCTACGCAGAAAATTCCACCCAGAATCTCATCCCGCTGACTGTTTTTCAAGGCAGGTACAACTCATTTTCAGCCCACCGGCCCACGGGCCTATTGCCGCCATCACCAATTTTCTTCCCGGGGAGCCAAAATAGCCGTCCCGCAAAACTCTTTGCAAAATCTTCCCTAAGCATATAATTCCACCCCAAACCTAACCCCGCGCTCCGTTTTTCAATTCAGGTGCAACTTATATTCAGCCCCATCCGGTGCGCCTACCTTACATCTAACCCTGGGGTCCTGGCCTTTGACGCTGGGGCCCTTGGTTCGGCCACTTCGGTCTTTGGTTTTGAAACTGGAGACTTCAACTTTCACACTGGGCTCCTGACCCTTGAACTAGGGTCCTGAACCTTGACCCTGGGGTTTTGACCCTTGACCCCTGGGTCTTGACCTTTGACCCTAGGGTCCTGACCATTGACACTGGGGTCTTTGGTTTTTCCACTGATGTGATGGACTGGAATGGAGGAAGGGGGGTGAAAACGGTGCTCTCGTCTCCAGAGCAACGTTCTGGAGATAAGCGGAGAAAGCTGGTACATCCCTAAACATTCCTGAAGATAGTAGAAAGTTCTGCCTGGAAACTAATGGTCAGTCTGAGAAGATTCTGTAAATAAGCGCTAGTTAATAAATCTTGCTGATTGACCCTGCATGGTCTCTAAGAGTTCCTTGGGCTAGGCTCTTAACTGGGCTCTTAATTTTTACCCCTGGGGTCTTGACCTTTGACCCTGGGATCCTGACCTTTGACCCAGGGATCCTGACCTTTGACCGTGGGGTCCTGGCTTTGATCCTGGGGTCTTTTGTTTTACTGCTGAGCTCTTAATCTTTCCCCTGCGTCCTGACCCATGACCCTGGGGTCATGACCCTTGACCCTCAGGTCTTGACCTTTGACCCCAGGGATTTAACCTTTGACCCTGGGGTCCTGACCCTTGATCCTGGGGTTTTTGATTTTACCACTGAGCTCCTAATCTTTCCCCTGGAGTCCTGAACCTTGACCTGGGGTTCTGATCCTTGACCCTGGGCACTTGACCTTTGACCCTAGGGTCCAGACCTTTGACACTGGGGCCTTCGGTTTTTCCACTGCGTCCTTAATTTTTGCCCCTGGGCTCCTGACCCATGACCCCTGGGTCTTGACCCTTGACCTGGGAAACTGACCTTTGACCCTGGGGTCTTGGCCTTTGACCCTGGGGTCTTGGCCTTTGACCCTGGGGTCCTTACCTTTGACACTGGGGTCTTTGGTTTTGCCACTGGGCTCTTAATTTTTGCCCCTGGGGTCCTGACTCATGACCCTCGGGTCTTGACCCTTGACCCTAGGGTCT